AAAAATATGATTTATGATAAGTTATTTAATATAATTTTGGAAGTGTTTTTATTTTTTTGTATCTCAATACTTTATTTTGTTTTTAAACCTATTGTTGGTAATGTACATTATTAAAAAAATATCTATATATACATTTTATACTATTTAAAAAATAGAAATAAACTAACAAATCAGACTTTATAAGTTTTATTTTAATTTAAAAATATGATTTATGAAAGGCTATTTAATATGATTTTGGGAGTATTTTTATTTTTTATAATACGGTTTGCAATGTAAATAAATTAATAAATATCTATTTATTCATTTTATACTATTTTTAAATACATTGTTTTTAATTAGAATAAAATGACCAATCACATTTTATAAGTTTTATTTTAATTTAAAAATATAATTTAGGATAGGTTATTTAATATGATTTTGAAGGTATTTTTATTTTTTTTTATATATATAGACATAGTTTATTTTTAATTTTTTAATTTTATAATCTATCCATACATTTTCTTTTTGTATAGTTTATTTAAACTATTCATTTCTATCGTATTTTAATTTCATAATCTATCTTGTATAATACAGTTAAATTAACTAATTTTGGTTAAATAATTTGAGATGTTACTATTTTTTTTTATTGTTGTCTATGAATTTGTTTTTTTTTTTATAATTATAAATTGATTTATGTTTGTTTGTGAACTTTTAATATTTTTTGTATGTGAGATTATATCGAATAATTATGAATTTTGAATAAATAAAAAAAATTTAAAAAAACTTAAAAAAAAAAATTTAGTAAAGTAGAACCCAATAATATTTTTGGGTCGGGTTGGGTTACCAATCCAACCAAACCGAGGGTTGGGTAAAAAAAAAATCTCCCAACTCGACCCAACTGGACCATGTACACCCCTACTAAAAACCAAAACCCTTGTTTGAATATTTTCAAGAGAACTTTGCTCTTTACTCTTCCTTCTCTCAAATCAGAAGAAAACCAGCTAAAACCCTTGGATCGCAAACAATAAACCCTGTTGTCGTCAAAGCCAATTCTACTGCCGCTTCCTTCTCTCAGGCTATGAGCTTCCGGTCGACTTGATGTCATTCCCTTCTTCTTCTGCAACGAATATGGCTTTTAGGTTCCCGGGACTCAAAGAAATCTCAAGCCTCAATTCTATTCAGGTATCCTCCGCCGATCCGTATTCCATCTTCAATTTAAATTTGATTCCAAAGCTTGATTGTCTCTGGTCATCTTTATTTTTTTTTTTTATTTGATTGCAATTTTTCTTTGTTCTAGTCATGATATTACCATCAGCATCATCATAGGCATGCTGTTAGCTCATTGCCATTTTATGTCGCTCCATCTTAGGTTTCTGAAGGAGTTGATAGACGGATTTTAGAGAGTAGACGCCACCTTCTGCGGTATATATATGATTCATATGTTTACGGCTTTGCTAGATTTAAATTTTGTATCCCTGCTTCAAATCTATGAATTATTACAGCTTTACGATGCATAACCAGTTGCTTAAAACGTTTCAAGTGGTTATGAGTGTTGTTAGACTATATATACCTTCTGCGGTATATATATGATTCATATCTTTACAGCTTTGTTAGATTTAAATTTTGTATCCCTGCTTGTACTCCATGAATTATTACAGCTTTACGAAGCAGAACGAGTTGCTTAAAACGTTTCAAGTGGTTATGAGTGTTGTTAGACTATAACTATTTGGGAGAATTTAACCCGAGAGAGAGCCATTAAGAATAAACGATCTATGAGGTGTTTCTTTATCCCGACCACCATTCCACATAAAGTTGAGGCAGTATTTTTTCAGTGTAGTCTAGATTTGTTGGGAGATAAAATAAAAGCAGTAATAGGTTGGAAGATTTTAGAAGGGTGACTTGAATGAGGGTAAGGTATCCACCCATAGAAATGTGATGTCTTTCCTAACTATTTAGCCTCCTGGCCATTTTTCATATAGCTCATTTAATTCATTGGTTCTAATCGTATAGCTCATTTAAGGTCATCTCATTATGATTATCGATAATCTAATTAATTCCTTACCATTTTGATATGAAATACTTTTAAGAAAATGTCATATCTCAAGATCTAATTATAAGGTCAACAGTCAAAAAGCTACGGCGAGTTTTAATCACTTTTATTCAATTTATGGTGAACTTATCAAAAGAAGTTCTCGAATACGATTGAATTCTTCCCTATATGTTGCGTAAAGTTGAGCTTCAAGAGAAAAATACATAAAATACATTTTAACTTGCATAGGATGACTCACCGTTAAATTTATGAAACTTGTATTATATTAATTTAATTGTATTTCAATTTTTGTTAATCACGTAAGCTAGTTTTAATATGGGTGTTAAAAGTTATTATAACCTACATAAATTACCATATTTGACTGAGAGTGAACTCTCATGAATCTGAAGCCAAGGTTGTATATCTTTGAACCGATTTCAAAAATTTCTAAATTTCTAAATTTCTAAAATGGGTCCTAAAGAATGAACATGGAATGCAAGTGAACTGTTAATAACCAATTCAATTGAACCGATTGACAAGTTCAATCATACCACATCTCCTACCTTGGATCAATGCTCACGAGCTGCTGTTCTTCCCGTTTCCAAATTTTATTTCACCATAATTGATCGCAATTTTTTCAATAAATTCTATTAGTACTATTAACATAAATTCAGGGCTGATGAGTGGTAAAGAACTGACACCATGACTCAGCCTAAGGTACATTATGAGTCATTTTTTTGGCTAACAGTACTAGATATGATTTTAGTGAATAGTCAGTGGAGTATTCTTCCCATATTGGATTGATACCAAATTTGGTGAGCATTCGTATTCTATTTATACAACCATAATTTCAGAGCCGCATGCCTGTCTATTGGTTGCCTCCATCTTATTTATGTCTAAACTTGCTTGAATGTGTTAGCCAATAAACTTGACTTAGTAGAAGAAATTATAACTTATGGAGCAACTTTAAGACAATCGTTAATAGTGGTCAAATTGTGGACTATTTAGTGATTTAATTACTAAGATTGTCAGTAGAAACTTGGTAGGGCTTTCTCCATTGTAAATGATCTATCATATATTATGTTTCGATTGTGGGCAAATCCAACGGAATGTGCATCTTTCTTAGTGCGTTAGACGATGCGCAATCTTCCACGATCATGACACTTATATGTTTTGATCCTCATGTTTGTTGAATCATGTGGGTTATATTCTGATATCCAATTGTTGTAGCGGAAGCGGAAGCAAGATCAATCGCACTCGACTCCCTCTGGAGCCCTCGAACAAAGTACACCCTTCGTTCGACACTTTAGTCACTTTTGACTACACTTTGTTCAATATTTGAGGATTCTATTGACATGGTTAAGTTTAGGGCATGACTCTGATACCATGTTAGGAATCACGACTCTCCACAATAGTATGATATTGTCCACTTTGAGCATAAGTTCTCATGGCTTTGCTTTGGGCTTTCCCAAAAGGCCTCATACCAATGGAGATAATATTCCTCACTTATAAACCTATGATTTTCCACTAAATTAACCAACGTAGGACTCACTCCCAATAATCCTCAACAAATACATCTTCATGACAACTTACACCTTGTCAGAAGATCTCCAAGCAGATAATCGGTTTGGTTGCCACCAAGTCAACAAGCTACTTTTTCCATCCAACATTGATCAGATCCAAGAAATGCCAAAACTTTTCACGAGTAATCATCTTTGTCAACATATCAGTAAGATTGTGATATGCTTGGTACGACCATGATGGACTTGTTTCTTCGACAAACAAATAGCACTCCAACTATCACAAAACACATCTACGCATTATCAAAGTCATTAACTAAACTATGCATCCAAATAACTTCTTTAAAAGGTTCAGTGACGACCATATACTCTTTGTTTCAGCCTATACATATATTTTTTTAATCTACATACCAAATGTTGTTGCTCAACTCCTCGGAAACAAACTTGTAGTGCCATATATATATCCTCTTCCAAATCTCCATGCAAGAAAACAGTTTTTATATCGAGTTGTGCAAGCTCAAGATTCAATTGAGAAACCAATGCCAACAAAATCCGAATGGATGGAGATAATCACAGTGCTTGAAAAATATGATTTCCAAGAACAACTAAGCAAGCTTACAATGAGAAACTTGTGTTTGTTTAATTTCTATTTGTGAGTGTGTGAGTGTCATCTATCTTACTTCCCTTTCAGCTACAAGAATTAGGTATAAGAACATTTTGGTTATGGCATTAAGGTCCTACATTATATTTTTTTTTAAAGAACAAAAAATATTGTTTATATATTTATTTTTAGTAAATATATATATATATATATATATATATATATATATATATATAT